ATATAAAGAAAGAACTTAGCATCTGCACACTACTTTTCTTCAGAAGGTTTTTTAACTTCAGGGGCATTCACTCATAAATCAATATTTATGACTTTCTAAGCCCCTGGATACTTCAGAAAGCAAGGTAAATGATGAGAAGTCACCTTGATTCAGTGGGATCTTTGCTTTTATAAATGGAGGGACTGATTAGTGATCAAATGTGGAGCTAAAATTATCAGGCCACTGCAGGGCTCAGATCTATGGCATGTGTGACTGGAGGGTGGGGTTTAACAAGTTACCTGACTGAGTAGATTAGGAAAGCGATCAACTATTAACAAATTATTAACAAAGGTTCTGGTCTCTCTCTCTCTCTCTCTCTCTCTCTCTCTCTCTCTCTCTCTCTCACACACACACACACACACACACACACGTATACACACGTACACATAGCATCCAACAAGGAAAAAGTTTACTTTGCCTCAATATCTTTTTCTGCAAATCTTCTATCTTCTTACTGATTTATAAGCATCAAGCAAGACTACTACGTATTGACATTTGCTCTCAGGGGCAGCACGTTCAATGCCACATGCTACCTTATAGTTTATGAATTTATAAGAAGCTCCTAGAGAAGTGGAAGAGTCAAAGTCGTTGGAGGTTAATGCTACTGAATGCTATTTAATATTGACTTGATAAGGTTTCTTTCTCTTACCAGAAAGACAAGTAAAGAGTTAAAGCCAGGGCACTTGCTTAGTATCCAAGGCAATAAAATAAAAGAAACAAAAAGAAATTCAATTTCCCTTCCCCAGTTAAACAAAACTCTAGGTTTTATATTCCTCCGACCTAGATATACTCAAAGAGATCATACAGAACGTTCCTAGGGAAAAAGAGACCTCAACTCAGCTGTTCGGCCAAGTCTTCAGCTTAGAAAATGTCTTCACAAGGGAATATTGAAATGGATCCAAAAAGAGGTTTATGGGATAGAATCAGTGAACGACCCTGAAAGGCCCACACTCAGCAGGAGAAAGCTGCAGCCACACTGCTGCAACCTGCCATTACTTGCTTGTAATAACATATGACCCACATCAGCCCTCTGAATTCCCATAAGAAAATATCACTTTTCAGAGAAGAAAAAAATCAAACACATTTTCCTGTATAGTCAGTGATGGGTGATGGAAGTGGGAGGGAAGAGAAAGCCTGGTCAGGAGGGCCGTTGGGCTTTTCTGTTGTTTTACCCAGCACAACAAAACTCTCCATATTGCAGGGATGGAGTGTGTGGAGCTGCAGGACTTCCCGAGGCTTGTGCTCAGCCGAGCTCTGTAAATACCTCCACTGTGAAGACAGTGTGCTTTCAACTCCAGCTCACAAATTGCGCTAAATAATGAATGATTTAAATTAGACTGTTTTATTTATTAACAAGTCCAGTGTGGCTTATGTAACCACACTCAAAATATCAATGCATGGTTCTTAAATGCAGGAAAAGCACAGTCCAAAGTTCCAGAGTTCCCAGGGGAGAAGATGAGAAGTAAATATCAGAGGAATAAAGACTGGTGTCTTTCACTGAATCCTAGTGAATGCCAGGATTTTTAAAATGCAGTGTGATTAATTGTAATGGCAAAGCTTATGAAGGTGAGAGGGCCAAAATCAATGTATTAATGGCACAACAGCTTTGGGCCGAGCTTCCTTGAATCCTCACAGTTGTTGCTGTTTAACCAGGCCAACAATAAACTGCACATAGATGTTCTCACGGGAAAAGCCGCAAATTCTCTTTGTGTTGCGCTTTAAAAATTAACTTGATTTATAAATATTACCCCAAATAAGCGAACACCACCCATGCAATTCAGGAAAAGATTCCTGCTGGCCTTCACAAAACATGGACAGTATAAAAATCCATGCCCTGCCACAGCGAGGGAGATATAGTTAATACTACTGAACTGTACACTGGAAAATAATCAGGGTGGTACATCTTGTATTATTTGTTTTCTACCACAGTAACATAAAATATCACTACTTTATTTTAACCGTGTCTTTTACTACCTGGATGAGACAGAATTTGCCCTTTGCTATGCATTTTGGCACTTGATACAACTGAAACTTAAGTGGCCAGTTATATAATTGCAACAGCACGCTTCATTCCCAAATTCTACTTCTATGTGACATTGGCATTGGTTTCCTACACTGCTGTGGTTTAACCAATTCCAAATATCTGGAGTGACCATTTAGCAGTCTGATAATAAACAGGTATAACATCTGTCTATTGAAAGAGATGCATAGCTCTAGCCATGACACATTAATGAGGAAAGGATACAAGACAATAATGGAAAGATTTTCTAAAAGGCAACGTGTTATGACTCTAACAGAAGTATGTCAGCTGAATTGAAATATGTGTACAAACATAATAATATCCAACTTTTAAATTCATCTATGTATATATTTTTAAAAATGTTCTGCCACTGCCTCTCTTTGAGCCCTGGTGCTCAGTGGTTTAAAGTATAGATACTAGAAGATATGCTATGTTTAATTTGTTGCTTTAGTAAGTTCTTGGACCACATTTCTTATACCATATTGTTTCAAAAAATAAAAACATGTAACTTCAGCTACACACCAGTAGACTAAAACTTTACTATTTTAGAGTTAATCCTGCATCACAGAAAAAGTATTTAAAATGAATAATTTAGTTCTAACTGTAGCTGATAGCCACTGGCCAAGCATCTCAGAATTGCAGAAACTAATATTAATATGTAAGAAAAAGAGAACAGATGGGGTGTTATATGAATGAGAGGGAAACAAGTTCATCTATTGATGTCACTGTGAGATCAAGAAGGCAGATTTCGAACTAGTTACACGATGGTTTTTCCAAGCAGGTGTTGTGACAAGCCTTGAGGACAGACACTGAGACACGAGGTCCTGTGCGCCAGCGCAGCTGAGGAACAGGTAGATAGCCGCACCTCAGCCAGGCTTCACATTTCCCAGCCTGACTCATGTCACTCGCCCAATTCCTGTCCTGCACATGTACTCCTACAGCCCCCCCCCCGCCATCCCCCGAAACCACTGCATTTCCAAATCAAAAAGAGAAAAAACAACAGGAGTAGAAACTGGGAGTGCCATGACCGAATGGATGATTAGGAAAAATGCTTTAGTAAATATTTAAAGATCCATTTTTAAAAATCCTGACAATAGGAATTTGCCATCAGATACAAAAGAAGTAACAACTGTGAGGATTCAAGAAAGCTTGGCCCAAAGCTGTTGATTTTTTATATACATTAAACAACTAAGATGATAAATATTTTAAATAATAATTTTTTCACATCTAAAGATAGTTTTATTTTTTCCTTAGCTGATGACCTTAAAATAATAAAATGAAAATCATCAGCTATCTCTCAGTTCTTTCTCATTATATGTCTGTCATCTAGTACAGACTTTAAAAACAATCAGGAAGATAAAAACTCCCTGTTTAACTGGATAAACACCCTCTTCACAGTCTCCAAACAGGGCAAAGGGCCCCAAACCCATGGCCTCCTCCCTCTGACTACTGACTGACACCCTCTTGTGAAAAAGAGACAGGTTCTGACATAAGGGCCACTGACTCTCTGGACCAGCCTCCTGAGCTCCCACTTGCCCAGCCCAGGCCAACACGGCAGGGGCTCTACCCACCCTTCCACTCCTGCCCACTGCTGTTCTCCAACCCTGGCATACAGCACAGAGACCCACAGGCAGCTGCTCCAACGAATCTCCACTATGCCAGCCTGGCCTGTTCCTCTCGGCTTTGTTACTATTTCTTGCTCTCCAGCCTCACAACTTGAGCATCACCAGTAGAACAGATAACAAAGACCAGGAAGGTCTACTTACATAAAAGACAGGTTATCTCCATCTACTAGGCTGGTGGAAACACAGCCGCACGTTTTCCGTGGGGGAGTAAAAGCATGCGCACTCGCCAACCGGAAGGCCACAGCCCAAGCCCTACTTGCAGGGCTTCCTATCTCAGTGCCAAACACTGTAAAGGAAAGCAGGGGAAACTTCTCCTTGTTAGTCTCTCCACAGGTAAATGCAACCACACGTTCATGAAATGCATAGTGTGGCACAGTCCTTAAGACAGAAAAATGCAACGCCTTCTACAGATGTGATTTAGGAACACTAGAAAAAATACAGTGAGTCCTTGCTTGATAATGTGTCACCAGGCCTTCTAAGGGGAGCACAGAGACACACAGCCCTGCTTCTCCATCAAGCTAGGGTAAGTTATATCACCTTGGGGGACACGGGGGTCCAAGGCTGGTGCCAGCATCCACCAGAGCCCACACACTGCTTCCTCATCCACCTAGTCCTGAGATGGTATTCAGTGAACAGTTAAGAGTCATAATCCAAATGGTTTCCAAATCATATCTCTGGGAAGTCAAGTCCAAATTAAATCAGAACAAGCTTTTAGGCTGCCAACGATCACATTTTCTCTTTTGAGTGAGTGCATTTCAACACTCACAACTTCTCCTCTTACTAAGAGATCATTTTCAGGACTATCTCCGAATGCAATCTCCTCAACAAAATCTGATAGATAAGAAGAGAAGGGAAACTGGTTAACTCTGAACCTCAGAGAAAGATGTCAAGGGAGAATTTCCTTCCTTTCCACAGATTTCTCAAGTTAATTATTTTAACCTACTTTCTAGTAAATGTTACTGAAACTTCTCCTAACAATATACATACAGAATTTTATGAAATGAAAGTGCCCCAAACCAAGCTACTGCATGTGAAAAGCCTAAAGCATACTCAGCACATCTTTGAAATATAAATGCATATAAAATACCTTCCCACAATGAAAACATACATATTACTGTCATATAGATATATGTAAAACTGTCAAGCTTCTGCCTGTCTTAGCAGCCTCAAGCCACTGAAACATAACTGACAAATGCCCCACGCCTGCATTTCTGCTTTCTGACTTCACACACTTGCGTTCAGATTCAGGACGTATGCCTGGCCAGCCTGAGCCCAAGGATCGAGGGAAGAAAGGCGGAAGAGCACCAGGAACTCACATTTCCGTGATGTTCTCGGGGTCTGCACTGTTAGGCTCCAGCCTTGGAAAGGCCACAATGCCAGGCGAAGGGTTGCTGCACCAAATCCGAGAGGCACTGCATTTGCAGGGCTGCGGACAGGCAAGCGCGGACCTCCAGAAGCCCAGGATTAGCCAGCAAATGCCCCAAAGCCGCGCCATGGCGGGTCCATGCCACCTCGTCCAGCTCAACATCCCTAGTCGCCAGTGCCAGCCCGGATGAGTGTCGCCTCCTTGCACCCGCCGGCTTCTCCTGCCGGCGCGGGGAGGCCCTCCTGCGCTTTCTGCCCTCCGGACTGGACTCTTCTCTGTTTGTTGCGTGCGTGCGCAGAGTGCAGGGTGTCCAAGGCTGATTTCGTCCTGGGTTGAGTGTATCTGGGCAGGCAGAAAGGTTCACAGTGGCTGGGGCATCGCAGGGCGCTTCGCAGAGGGCGCTAACGCCGCTCGGAGCTCGGCCTTGGCCGCAGACGCATGGTTAGCACGCCGGGCACCGGCCCTCGGCGCTGGGGACGCTCTAGGGCGCAGACTCCTGGCTAGCGGGATCCGGCAAGTACCTCGGGGCTAAGGACAAACAGACACCCATAAGACCAAGTGCAGGACCCAAGGTACCATTAACCGGGACACACTCCCTCCGCGCTCACCCCCCACCCCGACCCCAGCCAAGAGACTGTGGATGGATGCGCGCCTGGCTCCGGCCCGGGAATCAACTGGCCCCACGGATGGCGCTGATGCAGCTAGGGCCACCAGTGTGCCGGCCGTCTCTCTGAGCCTGAGACCCAGAAAAGAAAGGTAGGGACAGAGTCCCCAGGACAAGATTCTATGGCACAGGCCAGGCAAAAGGCTCTTGAAAGGGGAACACACAGACTGCTGGCGGCGCTGGCTCTGAGACGGAGCCCCCAATGATGCTGCAGAATCCACCACGGCCGCGGGCGCGGAGGGCGCGGGCAGGTGGTGCGGCACATTCCACCTGGGAAGCGGCTGCAGCCGCCCAGAAGCACCGCAAGGGCCGAGGCAACGAAACGCGCAGTCCGCGCGGCTCACCCGGCTCACTCCTCCTGCCGCCGGCTGGGAGCGCAGCTAGCGTGAGAAGGAGCAGCGAGGCTCCGGCTCCGACTCCGGCTCCGGCTCCAACCCAATTCCGGGAGCCGCCGCCGCCGCCTCTGCTACTGCTGGCGATGTGACGTGAGGGCTGACGCAGAGCAGGGGCAGAAACTCCAGAAAATTAGTCTGAAATCCAAAAACACACACGCTCATACACACACAAACGCATAACGCCCTCCAGACAAAAGCAACGGGGAGGGGAGGTAATCTGGGGGCGAGCTGGGGGGAGGCGGCTTCGGTGCGATGCCACTGGCCGCAAGAAGACAGCAGCATGTGGGAGTTCACACGCGCGCACACACACACGCACACACCCGGCCGTGTGGACACGCGCGTGCGTGCGTGCGTGTGTGTATGCAGATCTAGCTACCTCTGGCATGGACCACTCCGCTTCTCGACGCCTCTCGCCCCTAGTTCGCACCAATGTCTCTCCTCTGCCACTGCAAGGGAGACTGTCACTGTTTTTGAAATGGAAACTGGGCTTGGTTCAGCTCTGTAAAATGCGCTGATTCTTATTATAGGAACCTCCCTTTCCTCGCCCTCCCTGCTGCGTTCTCCTTTTCCTCCCTGCCTAAAGGGGACCGGAGCTAGCCCCAAATGAGTAACACTGTAAAGCTACAATGCGCTCTACGCTGGCAGACCAAGAGTCACTGCTCCCTTTCTAGATCACCTCGTTGGGGATCGCTTTTGGGAGGGTCTTCCTTGGGTGCTTGTGCAGAAGGAAGGGAGTGTCCACCCAATTTAGCTATCTGCGTGGGTCTTTTTTCTGCCCTTTTGTACCATCACACGCTCGCGAAACGAAGACGCGTGAGGGCAAAGGTGCGTGCCTGGCGCGGACAGGGCTAGTGCGCCGCGGCTTCCCGGCCTGTCCGGTGCGTGGCGCCGCGTCATTTTCTCTCCCGCTCTACCCTGGCTGAACGCAGCCATTCTGAGCTCAGAACTGCTATCCCCGCGCTGCCCACCCCCACGCGGGGCGCGCGAGCCCTCGCTCCCAGGCCGTACCTTGCGCGCGTGCGGTGTACGCGGACGCGTGCCCTGAGCCCGTGCTGCCAGGAGCACAACGTGCATCCAGCTAAGGAGAAGGCGGGAGCAGCGGGCAGAGCCTCGAGGTCCCACGGGGGACAAAGGAGGCAGTCCGAGAGGGTCGAGTGTCAAACCGTAACTGCTCTGCGGGGGCAGTTAAATGGTGGCCGCGGGCACCGCAAGCCTTTTCTGAGAAGCCTTCCTCCCATTTGCGGCTCGAGAGTCTGTTTTTCCGCAGTCATTTAAAAGGGAACTAGGAAAATACACCGCAGTGCCTGACACTTCCGAGGGCTCTGGTGCCCCCGCGCGGGGATGCGGCGCCCGGCAAGCTCCAGAGCGCCAGCCCTGCGCCACCGTCGCGGCGGGAACTGCGCGGGGCGCGTTCAGGCGCCAGATGCGGCGCCCAACGCGTGCGCGTCCCTGCCAGGCGGTGCGCGACTCGGCGGGCCACGCCACGTCCCGGGCTGGAGAAAGGCAGTGTTCCTCTGCGACCCGGCCTAGTCCAAAACGCAAAAACGGTAACCGGTCATTGCTCTGTGCCGAAGCGGAGGATGGACAGATAGGGAAACCAACTGTCAAGGCGGGTGCTCGATCCCTGCGCCCTGCTACACGTTTCCAGAGAAGGAAAACATCTAGTGGGGCTGCTGTCCAGACCATGGTGGACGAGAGTAGCCATGGCTGCTCTCCTGCAGGCTCGAAACTCTGCTGCAGGCCCAAAGACCAGGCCAGCGCGTCTTCCTCACGCGGGTTCCCAGGGGCCACCGTGAGCCCTGGCATCTCAGCCGCACCTCATCCCGTGCTGGTGTTCACACACCGAGGAAGAAAAGCCCAGAGCAAACCTCAGCCCACAGGGTGAGATTCTGCCTTCAAGGAGAGAAGCCCCTGTGGAACTGGGGACTCCTGAGGAGTCCGCATGAGTCCTTACCCCTTGCCCCGCTGGCCCATGTGTTCCCACGGGACGCACAGTCACGGAGTGGGCTGAGAAGCTGAAGTCACCGTATGCTGGGCTGATGCAGATGCTTATTACAGTACTCACAAATGGTTCTTTCATTTGGGCTATGAATGTACTCCACCATCTCCCTCTTAAAATCAGGATGGGCGGCCCTGCCTCTACCCACACTTCCTCTGCTCTGCTTTTCTGTCTATCGTAGTTTGTCCATTTACCAAATTGTTGATTTTATTTATGTATTTTTTATTTCCCTCCAAATAATAAAAACCCCACAGAGATGGAGTTGTGTCAGTTTTGTTCATTATTATATCTCAAGGATATAAAGTGTGTGCATTTGTCTAATGAATCAGTGAAATAAAGCTGAAATCCCAGTTTCTAGATCTCTGGCTCTACCATGCCCACTAAATAACTGCACTCCAACCCATTCCCTCTCATCCTTAAGATTCTCATCCTCTGGGCTATGGGCACTTTTCCAACCTCACTTGTGCTCTTGCAATAGCCAGATATGTTCCAGCACTGGGCAGGGTGGTCCTTGAACTGGTAATTCATACTCACCACACACAGGATCCAGAACCCACTGAAAAAGTCAGTTTTTTTTTTTAACTGATTGAATTATAGATCTAGCTTAATTTGCGGACCTACAAGCTATTTGTTTCCTGGTGATGACTGCAGAGATTCACAGGCTGCTTTGCCGGATATGATGACAGTTTTTCAGATAGCTAATGTAGAATCAGGATGATTTCCCTTGATTCCTTCAATGCAGGAGTGAAGACCTGTTACAGGTTCCTACCTCTGCTGGACCATAATGAACCCATCCTCATGTTTCTCTAAGTATTCTGACTGTCATGGTTTATGTCTGAGGCCCCCAGGCCTCATGAATTTGCATTGTGCAATTGTGATTGGTTCATTGTCTAGAGCTTGGATTGATGATGTCAGTGCTACACCCACATAGGGGTGGAGCCAGCATTCAATATAATGGCAAGAAGAATGTGTGTCTAGCTCTCTGGATTTCTGCCTTGCTGTTTGCAGCCACCTTGAACTGCAACCTGCCATGCCAGCCTGCCTTGGAGCCAACTGAGTATAGACTGAAACCTCCAAAAACTGTAAGAAATAAACCTTTCCTTTCCAACTGTGGGCATCAAATGTTTTGTCTCAGCGACGAGTAAAAAGTGACTAAGAACTGACCATCTCTACAACTGTGAAAATGGGTTTCTCTTCACAACCCAATGCACACGTATGTAAATGCATGTAGCATGCAATGGCTTCACAGAAAACTCGTCACATTACAAGGAATGTGCCAGTATTTTCTTTTTTATTCTTTACCATTTTAGTTTATACTGCTTTTAATAACCCAATAAATTGATTTTACTATCCAATACTGGGTAGTAAACAGATTTACCCTCTTAACCAATCAACACACTGAAGAAAATATATGAAATATCGGTTTTTAAAACACAGGATGTAAGACAAGGAGCACTGTGGCTCAGAAAGGGAACCCAGGCAGAGCCCCAATACTTAAACTGAGAGAAAAGGGAGAGCGAGAATGGGCAGCAGGGGAGGAGAGTGTTAGTTAGTCTTCATGGGCCATTCCACTGAGAAATAGGCTCCCGAGGTGACTAGGTGGGTGGGCTGTGCACCCCAGCAGTAGCTGAACCTTCTGGAAAGAAACCGTCCTGACCTGCAGAAAGAGATAAACCCAAAGCTGTGCCTTTGATGGGCATGTTACCCCGGGACTCTTCCTCTCTCTGAGCTCTGTCCCCAGTCATCTTGGAGACACCCCTTTGCTCCACCAAGGCCCTCTGCTATGATGTTCCTGGCATGGAACCATGAACGATAATAAACTTTTCCTCCTTTACAGTGTGTGTGCCTGGTACTGAGTCCTAGTGATGGAGAGCTGACTAAAACAGGGAGTGCTACAGAGGGAGGGAATTCCAGCTCTCTGAAGAAGTTCCCCCCTATTTATTCAGCAGAGTACTGACAACCCAACTCTAGGGAAAGGAACTCTGGAAAGATGCAAGGGAGTGGGGTCAAAGAGTGTCATAAGGGAAACCGAAAGCACTGCATGGCAGACTGTGGGGCACCACTGAAGCAGTACTTGGGAAGAAAAGTATAGCAATCACATGTCTACAGCTAGCCAATGACCTCAGCTTCTACCTAAGAAACCAGAAAAAGAAGAGCAAGTTAGACACAGCACAAACAGCAGAGAAGAAGTAATATGGCATCAGTGGAAAATAATAAAGTAAAAATGTAGGGAAACAAAAATCGACAAACCCAAGAACTTCTTTGAGATCTATAAAATTGATAAACATCTAGTCAGACTGATCAGTAATGAAAGAAAGAAAATACAAATTTCCAATAACAGGAAAGAGAACAATGATAAGAATGCAAGATATTCTTTAAATACAATGAAATAGGAAGGGCATATTGTGAATAATTTTGTACAAATAAATTTGACAATTTAAACGAAATGAACATATTCTAGGAGGCACAAACTAACAAAGTTCTAAGAAGCAATACAGTACTTGAGTAGTCCAGGATCTAATGCAGAAATTGATTTTGCAGTTAAAAATCTTCCCCCAGTGAAAACTCTAGGCCCAGTGGCTTCACTATGAATTCTAGAAAATAATTCAAAACCACACTTAATTCTACATGTGCCATTTCAAAAAAAAATAAATAAATAAAGAGAAAGGAACATTTTCCAACATGTTGTATGAAATCAGCATTGCCTTGGTATAAAAATCAAAGAAATCAGTGGGCCATTATCTCTTATCAATATGCTAAAATTCTGATTATGGCTAACAATATTGTATCATAACCCAAAATACTCAAAGAGACAATGCTGAAAGTCCTCATCACAAAGAAATGATAAATATTTGAGATGACAAGTTCACTGAGTTGATCAATAAATAATGTCACACTGCACCCCATAAAGCTGTATAAATATTATCTGCCAATAATTTTTAATAGAGAAAATAATTCTGGTCCCATAGTTTCGTGAGCAGGTTGAATAGTATTTTATAAGATGCATTACAAATGATTGTCAAGGTGCTTAATACCTGGTATGTGCTCATTAAGAAGTCTGTGACGTGACCCAGCCATTCCACGTCTAGGTAATAGCCTAAAAGAAATTTAAAAAAAAAAAAAGAAAGAAAGAAAAGAAAGTAAAGCACATGTCCATACATAGACTTATACATAGACTGTTCAAGGCAGCCTTACATGGATAGGCAAACACTAGAAATGATCCAATTATTAATTGACAGGTGAATCAGTAAAAATATTGCAACATATCTATACAATGGAATGCTATTCACCAATGAAAAACAATCAACTGTTGATACTGGTATCCATATGAAGGAATCTCAAAATTAGTTATGTTAAGTGGATGCACCAGATAAAAATGAATATATAGTGTACGGTCTCATTTGTATAAAAACATAGGTAAGGCAACAAATTCATCATTATGAAAAGCGAACCAGTGATTGCTGCTGAAAGGTGGGAGGAATGGCAGGGCGAAAACAGAGGAGAAAATAAGGCCC